GCATTTGTGCCCATCATTATTACAGCTGATGTTTTTCTGGCTTCATTCACTGCTTGTTAATGCTGGGACTCAACATCTATTGTTGCTCTCATGCATGTTTCAGGAGTCGAACTACTTCTGTTCTGCTGTCAATACCTATTTGTCTGCTGTATCTATAGTCAGACTTCACCTATTTGATTTGCAGGCTGGTTTGTAAATATGGGTATGTTCTGCAGAAAAATTATTCTTGTAGATCCTGACAGCCTTCCATGACGTGAATATTGATATTTTAATTTCCTGTTCTTTTGGTGGTAAAGAGCTCTAGCTTCTATGCAAGTTATGAAAAACATGTATTGAGGACACTGGTATCTTTGTGAGGAAGGATCCAAGAAGTAATGTTTATGGGACCTTGTAAAGAGGCTGCTGTTACATGGTTAATGAGCCTTGACGCATGCAGTCCTTTCTTCTGATTGAAAGGATTTCTGAGTGGCACCAATAAAATTGCTGCCTGCCTTATAAACGAGAAAATCCTTGGCGGTAGCGTTCTGGTTTTGATGAAACACTAAATCTAGGGTGCCATTTTCTGAGCATACTGCCTAAATCTTCCTCCTGTAGGGGTGGTACACTCTCCTCTACCTGACCACAGCTTCATACAAGGATCTCAGTGGAGGATTTTTGGCTGTAAAATTTCCTGACCAGAGGTTTATTCTGTTACTGTCAGAGGTATTTTACTACTTAACATTATCTAGAAAAAAAGATACAAACTGGCAGGCTGGCTGTTGCTACTAGGCTGGGGTTGGAAAGTATTTAATGTCAGTCTCAACTGGTATCCTCAAATTGTCAATGATGTCTTTTAGAAGCAAGGTGCGTCTCATATATTGTCTAGATTGGTATATGGCACTTCTAAGGCATTGTGGTATTTGATTCATAGCTTATCAGAACAAGGAGATTGGAAGTAAAAGTGTTGATTAAACATTAATGATTATATTTCTGAGCTAATATCTCTACCAAGAAGAGCAGTGAAGGGCTCATCTTGACCTGAATGTTACCAACGTGGTATCTGATGCTATGAGTATTGGCACATCTTACAAATTGTTTGATGCTTGCCACTGTAATGTGCTTTCTCTTTTCTGCCAAATAATGGCTTCCAAATGCTTAACGGTCAGTGTTTTGTTGTATTTTTTTTTTTTTTTTTTAACTGCTTGCTAGTTTGTTTTTTTTCATCCTCTTGGCAAGCAAAACCTTGACCTTATTGGAAGTTTGACAACTTACCAGTGCTTACTAACATGAAACTAAAGGAGGGGGAGGCATGCTGTGATGACCAGGGACTCAGAGTACTTAGCATGTGATTGTCTGCCTCTAGGATATTGCAAGGCAACTTGAGGCGTTAAAAATATCTTTTTTTTTTTTTTTTTCCCCCCCCCCTCTCTTTTTGCAGGTCCCCGATTCTAAAACACAATGTCGCAAAGAGATGCAGATAAGTACCTTTATGTGGACAAAAACATCATTAATAACCCCTTGACTCAGGCTGACTGGGCAGCCAAGAAGCTGGTATGGGTTCCCTCAGAGAAGAATGGGTTTGAGGCAGCTAGCCTGAAGGAGGAAGTAGGAGATGAGGCCATCGTGGAACTGGCAGAGAATGGGAAGAAAGTGAAAGTAAATAAGGATGACATCCAGAAGATGAACCCCCCCAAATTCTCCAAAGTGGAAGATATGGCAGAGCTGACATGCCTGAATGAGGCTTCTGTGCTTCATAACTTGAAGGAGAGATACTACTCGGGACTGATCTATGTAAGTAATCTTGCCTGTTGGGGTAAGAGTTCTTGATTACATAGCATGTGAACTTACTGTAATCACTTTGGTTCTAAAATGTGTATGTTAACCTTTCATTGCCCCTATACGCAACTCTCATGTGACTTAGCTTCTTCCCTCTACTTAAAATTTTTTTCACTAAACTATGCCAATCCCCCTCCAGTTAATGTTGAAGCTTTCAAGGAATGCTGTGGTAAATCTGTCTAACATTTTAATGTCTTCATTTGCAGGATGTTTTGAATGCCATTTAACTTTCTTTTAGCAAGAAGTGAGAGCAGTTGGAAAGTGGTAAACAGGGAGTCTGATCTGAACTGAACCAAATGATAATAAAAACACAGTCCTAATGTACCTGATGTCTGAATTGCTTTTTTCCACGTCTGGAGCTTCAGTGCGAAGGAATGCTAATGTCAAGATTTTTGTGTTACAAAAATTCTGGATCTTGGAGTGTCTTAGTAGAGAAGGCACATGTGTGCTTGCATGTACTTACAGATGGGAAATATTTCCTTTTCTTTACACCTCAAAATGGACAAAAATTCCTACTTATTGCTGTGGAAATGACAAAGATGCCATTTATGGGACCAGTGGTCATACCCAATGAAGCATGCAGCAACTACTTCAACCACTTCACTGAATACCAAAAGCAATAAATAGGGAAAGGTGGGGAAGGAGAACTTGGAACCTTGACTTGGTTATCATAGAATGCTTTGGGTTGGAGAAGACCTTTAAAGGCCATCTAGTCCAACCCCCCTGCAGTGAGCAGGAACACCTTTACCTAGATCAGGTTGCTCAGAGCCCCGTCCAACCTGGCCTTGAATGTTTCCAGGGATGGGGCCTCCACTACCTTTCTGGGCAACCTGTTCCTGTGTTTCACCACCCTCACTGTAAAAAATGTCTTCCTAATATCCAGTCTAAATCTACCCTCCTTTAGTTTAAAGCCATTACCCCTTCTCCTGTCACACACATGCCTTGCTAAAAATGTCATCCCCATCTTTTCTATAGGCTTCCTTTAAGTACAGAAAGGCCACAACAAAGTTTCCCTGGTTCTTCAGTGCCCTTCTGATTTTCCTCTTTGTATGGCCTCTGTTTAGCTAGCAGATGTTGGTTGTGATAGCCTCTACTTTATTGATACTCTGCAGGCATAGAATGAATGATTAAACTCAGGGATGATGTACAATTTTGGGTGCATTTGCTGGTTCAAACAGAGCTAGTGTTTCTTGGTGTATTTATTCTCAAACTAGCCTCTGCTTACAGAATTAAAATGAGACTGCCTGAGATGGAATCTTGAGGGATGTAGAAATGCTTGATGTTCAGTGTTTTTAGGCACTATGAAATCTTTTTCACAGTAGATTAGAAGACCTTTTAAAATAAAATGTATTAAAGAATAAATTGCATATGTAAACATGTTTATTAATACAGTCTTTGAAGAAAGTCTGTCTAGATATTTTCCCCCTCTTTGTGCTGCCAAACCCCAAAAGCCGTGCCCCTTTCATACGGAGAAGGCAACATAAGTAAAAACTCTGCAATATCTATATGTATGTTTGGGGTTTTTTGAATGCTTACTACTTCTTCATACCAGAAGGGATACAGTCCTTTATGCAGTCATCTTATGTGGCAAGCTATAGATGATATCTTCTGCCCTACAGGGACTGGTGTTGTCTAAGATGCCACATAGCAGGAATTCACTCTAGCTATCCGTCTTGGGTAGAAACCTTTGTGAACTGTTGCCTGCTAAGTTAAGGAGCATGAACACAAGCTAGAAGCTCTGCCTCTGGCTAGTGCTGTGACCACTCCTTTTCTGGAGAGTCACGAAGGCATATAGACAGCTGTTGCAGAAATTACGGGAGAACATCTGAAGGATGCAAAGCTGATACAAATTTAGTCCAACTCCCACCTTCTGAACTCAAAATTTTGAGACCTAATGTGGTTGGAGGTTGATGTAGTTAACTATTCTTTGTAGTCAATAACTCCTTTGACTATAGGTCAAAATCTGTTCTCAGAAGGATGAATCTTTGTATTGAGATGAAATAGCATGTGCAAGAGCATGTGTAACACTTTTAGAACAGGAAACATTGCTAGGTTATATAATAAGTTGTTGAAAATAATTCAACATCTCAAACTCTGTTGCACACTGTGCAATGGGCTTTCACATATCTTGCAAGATATCCTCTGAAATTTCAGGCATAGTCTGTGACTGTAATAAATTGAGTTCTAATTGGATTGTAAGAAGTATAAAAAAATCCCCACACCCTTCACCCAAGTAAACCTAGCATAGTAATGCTCTATTACAGAATCTCAGTCTTGCCAAAACCGTGTTTCTGTGCACTTGTGAAATGGACTGATCTCACCTGTCAGCAGTTCTCAGCAAGTCAGGAGATTAATGCAAAGGCTTAAAATACTTTCATTAGACTGGCTGTTAGTTGATCATTAATCCTCTTGAAGAAAGAGAATACACGCAATGTATCTCTAACATAAACGTCTCTGGAAAGATCATAAGCATAATTTACTTATGCTCTTGTCCTTTTTCTCTTCTTTGCCAGCAGAGCTGTGTGGTTTTGTGGCTTTTTTTCTTTTCTCTTCTTTTAACTTTATTTTTCTGTTTACCCATCCTACAAAAGGAAGGGAGGAAATCTTAAGGCTGGTGCAGACAAATTTTGAGCAGGGAGTGCCAAACATTTAAAAAACTAAGAGCTTGAGTCTGACACCAATTTGCTGTTTCCATGTGCTGATTGGTTCTGCACTGAGGTGACTTGCTAATAGACTGGCTTTCATATTAACCCTTTCTATTTGGAATGCTTTATCAGAAGATCATCTTCAACTTCTGTGTTGCTTACCTGAACTGACTTGTTTTTATTTGATGTGAAGCTCAAAACTCAACCTTACATGTTCTAGTTATTTCACTGAAGTTAACAATTGCTGGAAAATAAGCTTTCTGATGCTGTCAGCTTTGTGCTGTGCTGCAGATGGTCCTTTCAGCTCTTAAGAGCTAGTTTAGCAGTTAGAAAAATAAAACTAGTTTCAGTTTGGCCGATGTGTCACTTGAAATAGTTAGCAAAAGGTAATGCCAAAATTCTGAGATAGTAATGTCTGAAACAAAGTACAGATTTCCAAGCCAGCAATGCTTATAATAGATTAGCCTTTCAACTGGAGCCTTGGGTTCAATTCGGGGATTTATGCATATCAGTTTTTGGTTGTACTTTAATAAGATGAAGATTACTCTTGGTCAGTTCTCTGTGGTAGGGCCGGCAGCTTCTGCTCAATATAATTCAACTTGATTCCTATTGTGTGCTTGACCAGCAGTCGTGACATGGTGGTCTCGCTCCGTTGCCTATCCCAGCCATGATTAGTTGCATCTATTTTATTAGACAAAAATATCACCTCACACATCTGTCTGAGATCATTATACTGCAATGAAATTTCTCCTGGCAACCAGAATGCTGGAAGAAGGTGATGGCTTCTTCCTGCATACCTGCTTCATGGCTTCTCACTCTAATTGAAATTAATGTCTTCCATTTTCTAAACTGCTGCTCTCATCCATAAGACTGCTTCAGTCCAGCTTCAGACCTTTATGCTATTTTTACTTGAAAAGTGACAATTCTAATTTGTCAGCAAACACGGCCATAAAAAGTCACACAAAGACAGACAAAAAACCTTTTACATTCCTTATGGAGTATTACCACAGTACTTCCACTTTTCTTTTGCTCTCACTTCTAATCCTCCAGAAGCAGCAAACAGGCATTTAGCCTTGTTAACACCTTCAAAGGAGAGGTAGTTTTGGTCTATGTCATGAGTTACAGTTTTGTTGCAGGGTGGGTGGGGAACAGGGACTATATAGGGCATCATCTTTTGATTGCTATATGCATGTTGCTGCCGCCATGGGATTTGAGGTAAGATACTTGCTAATGCAGACAGCTGGAACTGGAAGCCTAGAGGGGTTTTGTTTACTTGTTTTCCAAAACTCCGGTGAAATTACAGCTTTTCTTCTAACAGTTCAGTTGATGCCAATGTCAATTATTCCCATGCCAGTATAAAGAAAAGGCATATTGCATGTACTGTGAACATGCTACTCTTGAGTTGACTCCTTTCTACCCCTTGGTCCTACTCTGTCTTCCACTAGTGTAGTCAAAGGTCGGGAAAGCATGACCCAGTCTTTCACTTGCTATTCTTTGCTGTACAAGTACTGTCTAACATGATGGAGAACTTGGGCTGAGGCAAAAGGAACTAGCATTGCCAAGTTGGTTTCTGCAAACTCCTTTAACTGTTCCTTTCAACTACTGCCTCAAACCTAATCTGACTAGAATGTCTCACTGAAGCTTAGCTTCGTGGAACTATAGAAAGCCTACACTAAAAGGTTTTTAGCCAACTTTCATAGTTTCCCACTTTGGAAAGAGATTTAGTATTTTCTGTAAGCTATTCAAGTATTCCTCAAATATTAAAAAAAAAAAAAAGGTAGGTCTGGAAACATTTCCTAATACAGGGGATGGAAAAGGAACCTTAAATACCTAAAGCTGAACCTGCTGCATGTAAGAGTAGGCTAATTACTTAATGTTAAGCCAGCATGTGGAAAATTTGGATATAGAATCATAGAATCATCTAGGTTGGAAAAGACCTTTAAGATCACCACATCCAACCATTAACCTAGCACTGCCATCCCACCGCTAAACCATGTCCCTAAGCACCTCATCTACCTGTCTTTTAAATACCTCCAGGGATGGGGACTCCACCACTTCCCTGGGCAGCCCATTCCAGAGCCTGACAACCCTGTAAGACCATAAACTGTGTAGTAGATGCTATTTTCACCCTTCTGATCACAGTAGTCTAATCCTTACCTTTATCTAGCTGAAGAGGCTAAATCTGATTAAGTACTCTCTGCGCTCATTGTGGAGAACTCTTTGCTGCTCCAAAGCACTCTTCATTGAGTAAACAATAGAAGAGATGGTAGCAATAGAAATAAAAAGTGCCAAATGTACTCTCTTCTGGTAGCACTGCAAGTTGCTATCCAGATGTTTTGAACAGCTGCCTCTAAAATTGGGGTAGCTCTAAACCCCAGGAGTGAGGCTTGGAATGCTATTCTTAGAATATCTAGGAAATATCTAAGAAGCCTCTGCTCCTCCTATTCCCTCTGCAAGTAAAATGTTTTTTAGGGATTTTTTTAGGTATTCAGATCACAAAGATTTTTTTAAGAAGCTTAATATTTTCGCTACAAGTATTTTGGCAGTTGTCTTCCATTGGAAATGTAGAATTTAAGCCAGTGGAAACCAACTGAGAAATCAGGGTTTGCTGTCACAGATCAATAAATTAACAGTTTGAGATGAATTAGAAGTAAGTTTTGGCAAAAGTTGTTCTTTGAGCATGGCATACTTCAGAATTATTTTCTATATTGGCTAGTTCAGAACAGTACTACGTTAATGACCTTACAGTCTTGAAGCTAGTTCTAGGTATACTCGTTACATTATAAATCATGAAAGCGTTCAGGCTGGAAGGGTCTTTAGGAGGCCACCTAATCCAACCTCCTGTTCAGAGCAGGGTTAACACTGAATTCAGCCTAGTCCAGTGATCTTAACAACCTTTAAGGAGTGCACTGGTCTTACTTTTCTTTTAGTAACCATTTTGGCTTGGAAGTTTTATTACATTGTAGTTGATAAATTACTGGATAAATGCATAGCAAACATGAGGCAGAGCATAATAAAATGCATGTTTCTAGGAGCTGAGCACCTACCTTATATAATGAAATGGACACTTGACTTGAATATAGGAACTTTGAAAGGAAGAAAATCCAGGTCTAGTGGACTGCTAATTAGCCAGGGAACAGGCCAGTTTGATATCAGTGTGACTAATGTGTCAGTTGATGCTCTGTGCGTACTTGGAAATGTTGAGTGCTAGTCAAGTTGATATGACTTCAGCTGCTAATATTGCTTAGTGGGAAGCATCCCACATGGCATCACTGGAAGAAGCACTTAAAAAAGGACTGGTTGGTTTGTTTGTTTTTCCAAGTAATACTTTGTTAAAATGTACAAGCATACACTGTTTTTAATTCCTGCCTATTTGCTGGGGTGTTTTCTTTCCAGACCTACTCAGGCCTGTTCTGCGTGGTCATCAATCCTTACAAGAACCTGCCCATATATTCAGAAGAAATAGTGGAGATGTACAAAGGCAAAAAGAGACATGAGATGCCCCCTCATATCTATGCCATCACAGACACAGCCTACAGGAGTATGATGCAAGGTGAGTGCTGATAGATAATGACTCATGTTGAAATCACAAATCAAAGTTGCAGTCAAAACACTGTAGGAGAAGAACAACTTGCTGCTATCAGAAGGCATTGTTGCCCCCTCTTTGCCTACAGACACCTGACACCTACTTGGTACCAGCTTTTGTGTTCAGGTGGATAGCTTTCTCATGCTCTAGTGGATTGAAGAACCTTACAAAGAGTCTGGCAAGAGCTAACCTTAACATCACGAACAGGCTGGTGTGAATGCATGGGGTTCAGAGAAGCAGGCAAGGAGAACTGAGGTAGTGAACTTTCCCTCTCAGTGATGAACCTATGGAATGATAGCTGTAGGTAGGCAAGTATGAGTATTGGTTGATAGAGGCTTTTAACAAAAGTATTTAAAATGCAGTCATACAAGCTGGTTGGGTGAAACAAGCTTAATATAAGTGCAACGGTCAGTGGTAGTTTTACTGATGAAGAGTTGTTTAGTTACATTCTTATTCCATTAAGAATAAAACTATGCAGTAATATTATATACATGTGTTGGCTTTTCATAGAATTAAAGAAAGCAAGCAGATTGACCTATTTTTTTCCCCCTGTGTATCTAAATGAGAAGTAAAGAACCTTATATGTTATCTGCTGCTTGTTTGTCACTTGAGGACTTTTGAAAATGGAGCTCTGAATGTCCTGCATATATCCCCCCTTCTGAGAGGAGGTCTTTCACAGAGCCTGTGCTTGTGTTTGGGATGCTTGGAGAGAGTTCAGGAATGGAGATGTTTTGGGCTTTTGTTCCTGTTTGTAGCTGGGTTATATGAAGAGGCATGCTTTGTAAGGTTTAAAGGATATAATGGATAGTTTGATTTGGTGTGGCTTGTGTGAATTTGATTGCTAGTCATCAGAAAATAAAGGAGTAATGATTAAGGTATTTGTCTTTCATAGGTCTTGTCATTAGCCTCACATCTTTGAACAAAGGCTAGATATAATAAAAACATGCTTTAAAATCCTAATTAGATGCAGTTTTAAGGAGTTATGCTTTTCCCCTGCCCTCACTACCATTTGCACCTCGAAACATAGGAGGACTGTAACATTATGGTTTTCCAGAGTGGAAAGGGAGCAAGAATAAATCCTTCCACTTACCTGCATTAGTGGCTTTAAAGAAATTTCACATGTGGAGAATGCTGAGAAAGGTTGTTGGAGCATGGTGCCATGCAGAGCAGAGCACTTGGGAGAGCTAATGTGATGGATTGATTAAGCTGTATTTGTAAAAGCTTTGAGTGGGGAGGGGTGAGCCATACCGACATGCTGCAGTGAACTGGTGGCAGGATACTGATGGCAATTTGTTGAAGATGTGACAGCTCTTTAAGAAATACAGCTATGCCACTGATGTGTTACTCTGAAAGGAATGCTTTATCCAGAGGAAAAAAACCTGTGAACCTGCACCTATATAGGACCTCACTTCCCTCAGACTGGATCTGCCATGAAGAACGAGGACAGATGCGCTGCTTATGCTATACGTGGCAGCGTGGTTGTCTATAAACCTTTTATTGCTGTTTTGCTTCCTTTATTACTTCTTTCTCTCCCTTGCCCATTCCTTGTCAGCTTAAGTACCAACATATATTTTTCTTAAACAAGTTATTGACTTAATCCTACCAGAGTTACTGTTCCCTAAAAAGAAATCTTTTCTAGGTAGAATCAGAAACAGTTTCTTTGGCATTGTTGTAAAGAGACTGAAAACATCCATTTCCCTCTATAGACAACAATTAAACCATGTGGAACTGCATGTGCACGCATCTTGTCCTTCATCCCTGACATTTATATCAGTATGTGGCAGTGGATGTCCAGACAGCTGCAATTCTGCAACAAGGGACAGGTGACCTTCCTTGGTCTGTTGGTGGTTTGGAGCTAGTGATTAATCTACGTGGATATTTGCTTTCCTTTTGAAAAGAGAAGGAGTCTCCGTTGGACCACTGCTTGAGTGACGTCTAAAACTCAGAAATCCCAGACTTGAATTGCTTTGGTGTACAAAGCTAAAGAATGGCAGCTCTGCCTCTGTTTTCCTAGCACGGGAAAGTTGCTGTGCGCTCTGCTGGAGTGTTTATCTTTCCCATAACAATTCTAGCTATGCAATATTCTCAGCAGTATTGACAGTCTGGATGTATACTCCAGCTCCTCTTTGCCTGGTTTGAGATATCTTGTTGCTGACTTTTCAGAACGCTTGTTGGATGTGTGTATCATTCCCAGTTAGCTTTTGAACTAGTCTGCTTTGAACTATTTAACTAGGTTTTGGAAAGATTTTTGTATGTGTGCTACCAAGAACCTAGAGATGGTTTTAAGGTTATTCACTGCCTTATTTCCTTATTGCAAAAGGTAACAGTAGCATTCCAATGTCTGCTACTGGGAGTGAAGGTGAGTAGGTTGTTGCAGTGTCTCTGGTCCTGGGTAGCCTCTAGACCAATGGAAAGCAGCATTCCTATTCCACTTTCTCAGTTTTGCTTAGCGGTGGGGGAGGCTTGGTGCAGCAGCCAGTGGTATGGCAGGAATCTGTACAGAGAATAGAAGATGAAAGGGTCGAGTGCTCCACATGAGCCAGAGGCATTTAGGATTAGGCTGCCTTCCCTAGGTTATTTTCAGAGCCCTGAAGACTGGGAATCCTTCGTGGTCTGGAGAAGGATAGCAAGCTGTTGACTCTGACATCTGTCAGCATGGGGTATAGTTATCTCTTAAGCTGACAGAGCGGAAAAGCCTTGCATGTTAATTGATTTGGACTCTGAATTTTTTTTTTTTTGGTTTTCAGTCAATTTATGGTATTCTAATAAGCAGGCCATTCAAAGGGACGTTTGTCAGGAAAGGAATTGGGAAGGGAGAGGATGAGAGCTTTATTCCAACCTCTGCTAATCCAGAAACTATTTAACCCTTTTCAGGCATCTATGCTGATGCACTATGGGTGAGCTTGGTCCTCTTTTTTTTTGTGTTTACTCTGGTTACTCCATTCACAAAAGTGTCATGTGGCATTTTTATATTCCAAGAGGTTAAATTGCTTTTTGTTAAATGTCATCAGAAGTACTTCCTTGAAGCAGTAGAGATAGAGGTGTTAAAAGTGATTTTATTTCTTTTTTCCTCCTTTCCCTAATACAAGATATTAAGACTCAGAAATGAGACAAAACCATAATTTTGCTATGTGTTACTTAGAGAGACTTCCTGTCTTTCTAGAGTAGAACTCTGAAAAAAGTGTAACATTTTTGGTTTTAGAGAAGACAACGCTTTATCTTAATGTTTCTGTTCCCTGGGTAACCTGGATGGCAGAAGCTTCAGGTCTGACTGCTTTCAGAAGAATTACTCTTCTGGCGCTGATGATTGAAGCACAGTGCCTGCAAGTGGAGTGGTTTCTTGAGCAAACAAATCATTATTCAAATGCAGCAGATGTACACTGAAGGGGTACATTCTTTACCTAAATTCATAGTCTCCAGGGGTTCTATTTAGAAAAATATTTTTAAAACTGTTAAACAGCACCTGTTTGTCTATTTGGAACACATACAGGGAAATTTTCTACATCAAATACTGATAGAAGCTAGAAAGAGATTGGTGTCTGGAGCATGATGGCTGTTTTAATGCCAGTGTCTGAAACTTTTGTTATAGGTGAGATCAGTATGGTTATTCTGGTCTCCAAAGTTCAACTGGCTCAACGAAGAGATAGGCAGGAGAGGGAATTGACAGCACATTGCTAATGAATATGCTCCATTTCCTTTCTCATACAGTTCCTCTACACGTTAGTATAGGGCTCCTGACGGTTCACTGAACAAAATTCTTAAAATCATTGTGTGGTGATTAAACCCTCCTTGACAATGATGGATTAGTCTGCAAAGGAGCCTGTGCAGCCAGCACCTTGCTGGTATTCACTTGGGAGCTAGTCAGTCTCTGGGTTTGGTGTTTAAAAGAAAAAATTCTTAAGCATAGTAACTTCATGATTTTTATTGGCCTCGATACATTAGGGGAAGAAACAGTGTTCGCTATTGTGAGACAAATTGGTTGCTGTTGTAGAGCTTTGTGTGGACCTGAGGCCCAGTTGTCATTTTCACAAGACACAGTCCTCTAGATCTGCTTCTAAAGAACATGACCTTGCAGTCTTTTATTTGTACTTCTCAGATGTTTATGTATTTCTTAAGTTTCCGAGCTAGTAGAACACTTCTGTTTTAACTTCCTTGGTCTCAGGTCTTCTTTCTCAGCTTGCTTCTTGGCATTGGTCTGCTATGCTGCACTGTATATTGCACTGTCCTGAAGTGCATCTTTATTTTCTATACAGTATTCTGGGCGTGCTTACCAGTTCAGAGATACTTGTTTGACAGAGCTGTTCAGATTATGTAGAGGTACAGATGTCTCTTTTAAGTTGCATGTAAAGGTAGAGTTCTAGTTCCATTAAACCCAAAGGAATATAGCCTGTGGTTTCACTAGTTTGTTTCAAAGATTTGGCCAGATTTCTGATGCAAAGGGCAACGTTAAGTTTGGATACTAATTCCAGAGGATGTTTGTTTTAATGGTGTTTGTATACAAATAGCAAGAAAAGATGTATGTAGTTTCTGATTTTCTTAAATGTTTTACATGCTTTGAATTAGTTGAGATTTCTAAATGCAGCTCTAAAAATCTGTGTCTTGAAGTGTGGTTTTCAATAGAACAAGGAGCTAAAAAAAGAGTCTCTTGCCCACTTGGTTTTTGGTAGTTACCACACCCTTTTTGCTTCATTCCTGTAAACCAGAGCAGGAGTTCTCTGGCAGTCACTTATATAATGGTTCAGCCCTTGCTGTCAGTCTCCCTGCAGTTCACTGTTTTAGTATCATGAGCTGCCTGAGCTTTTGCAGGCTGTATACCAGTTTTTCTTTCCTGTCAGAACTTCATAAACATTTGTGTAACCTTAAATTATGGCCTAACTTGTTTTCCTGTTTTGCTATCTCCAGATTCAGTTAAGGAGAGAGGGGTATGGGCTCTAGTCCAAAAATGGCTTGGGGAAATAAATATTTGC